ATATACCTTCAAGTTTTACTTTTAATACTTCTATCATATTTATGAGCCTGTTGCTTCTTCGCTTGTTTTACTCTCATAATTGCAAACACCAACTTATCTCCATGATGGCTGTAATCGTTGTTTTTCCCTTCACCATATCATGTAAAGAGAACATTATACTCAATATTTTTAAACATGTTAGGATTTCTATACCACATTGCCAATACTGTGTGAAAAAAGCCCACAGTAATTTTCACTTGTATTCTTATTATTATTAAACTAGCTGTCATCATTATTATTGCTATTTCCATTTTATATGCTGCATGTTTTTGACATTACCCACCCTATTGTAAATGTGGAAGATTTTCTGTGTGATTAATTTTATTTATAATTTGAGGAAATTAGATGCAGTATTGTGTGTGATTAATGCTGAAAATTCTATTCTGTATCACAAGTACTGTTTATGGAATAAAGTAAATCATTATTATTATTATTATTAATTATGAAATTAATATCAGAACAGGACTTTTGCACTATGATAGAGGATAATTCCATTATGGCTAAAATTTAACTTGGTAAAGTCTTACAGAATGTTAAACATTAATATTTACTAATTACCCCATTTAGAGCACAATTTATTACTGCTCATAGATCATATCAAGGTACTCACACGACTTTGCAACTTTGTTCCTTTTTTGTTATTCCTTCACGTCCCTAGTGGAACATGCGGCTTCAAGCTAGTCACATAAAGTTTCTGCAGCAGTGCCCAACCTTTCATCTTTACCAGCTTAATTTCTGGCTTCGCAAGATAAAGTAGTGCGTCGGTCGGATAACGAACTCCGGCAAGCGTCCTAACGACTGAGCCCCCTACGCACAAAACTCCATTATTGTCATCGCTTAACCTGATTGGTAGTAGAATTTTCCATATTTCCGGCATGAATAATGAGTCATTCTTATTATATGTGTTGGGTGTAGACTCGATGGACAAGGATTCAGTAATCAACCTCTCTCTCCACCCGCCTATATTACTTCTTAGAATTTTAACCCTCTCCCTGCGTGTTAATTCATGCAGCGCCACTACTGAGCTGTTTCCAAATTATGTATTCTTCGAGCGGTAAATCATCCTAGCCTTAGCTGAAATCTTATGTTCTGACAATCTGACTACCCCTGACCTACTAGTTTGACCTATGTAGTTGACTTAACTCACAATCATTGCAGGGTATTTTGTAATTTATATTATTTTGTTTAATTGGATCTGTAGGGTCCTTTAACCTACAGAGCTTGCCCCTGAGTGAGTTTGTAGATTAGACGCCACTCTGATTATTGTTTCATTAAGAATCCTACGTAGGGAGGGTCTCAGATGTCCCCTCCTTATATGGTAAAACTACTTTTGTAGATGCCTTATGTTCTCTCTTATTTATGTTTACATTATTAGTTTCTTCATTATAAGTTATGTGAGCGACTTGAAATGATAATGAGGAATAGTTTGTGCTCAAAACGCCAGTCCATGCATGAATCCTAACTTCTACCAACTCGTGATGCACTTAACGAGACCACCAACCACACTATCATCGGTGGAAAATCCATCCTAACACACACCTGACTGGGTGGACCTAACTAGTCACGACTTCTCGCTAGAACTAAATCCAGGAAACTCCGTCCTGTAGCAAGTCATTACCGAGCATCAGATTAATTTTCAATAATGGTTGCGTACTGTCGATGATTCCCAAACTAGGATGAAACAGCTGTACAATACTTTAGTGCTGGTTTTCAGTAGTTCTCTAACTGATATCAATCCGTGATCAACTTGTAAAATAAAATATGTTAAATATTTTGAACTTCAGTAATAACGATGATCATTACGATAACCAAAATAATAATGATAATCAGGTTTATGTAGGTGGCGAGAAGAATAACGGAGGTAGTCATATATGTGTCTATATGTAGACATTTCAATAAATAAATTAGGTCAAATCTTGAAAGGTACAACATGATACTAAAGTTGAAGCAGACAGATAATAAATAATAAATAAGACAAATAATAAATAAACAAGATAAATAATAAATATCATAAAAGTACGAAGGAAATAGAAAATAAGAAAAGGTGGAAGATTTGCTTTTTGATTAGAATTTACCCCCTAGGCCAAGGGAGAGGCCAAGCAAGATAAAACAAACTTCTTTTGTGTGCAAAGGCACTAAGAAATGTTCTCTCGAATCAATTCCCATAGCATCGGTTATGTGTGTAAGCTACAGGTTCGAATTCTGTTTGAAAGATTCCATGGAATGCCAATTCTCTTCACTTTGTGACCGCTATCATCATTCAAATGAATCAAAATAGAACTTCTTATATAGATTTTATTTGGACTTTTCCAAACCACAAAGGAAGACGCTAAGTATAACGTTTGTTAAACTGTCTGATTGTTCCCCTAATATGGCTTGCCCCACAGGAACAACTAAATTTGTGTATACACAAAGAAGTGTCAGAGCTAATATTTGACTTGAGCTATCTTAATTGGATGGCTGGAAAACGATAAACAAAGGATGGTGGCAGTAGAAGTCCTTTTTCTCTATGTTTGGAAGCATTTAGTTTACTGCGCGTATTTCAAGGAAGTTTCGCGCAGAGCTATACATTAGGCCACAGGGATCAGATCCCTTGAGCAGCGACTACAGAGGGTCAGTTTATTAGTTGTACAATTCACCGTGTTTCAAGATAATCTGTTTACAAATTACTTCATTATGATTTATGCAACAAGACATCTAACTGAGCTGAAAATTTTCTGCATTCTTTCAAAATGTTAATCCAAAATGTTCTTTGTACTGTTTTTACCACCATTCCTTTGTATTTTGAGTGAAACATGGTGTTCCAAGCCATCCTTTTGCGTAATCTTACTGTATAATGTGGAACTAGACGTGGTTCAGAAGGGAGTGTGTCCCCTATCAGAAACCGAACCTAAGACCACATGAGGTCTGTTTGGCAAGTAGCATTCTACCACTAAACTATCAACACACAAAAAGTTATCCACCGGGTGATTAGGATCACTTATGATGAACTCGGAATTCCAATTTTTGGATGTTTTTCTAAAAACAGAGGTCTGATGGTTCTCTTCATAGATCGATTGACAGGAAACCAACATGGAATAGTCAGTACACAAATTTTCATAGTTGGGTCCCTTTGAGAAGAAAGAGAAACCTGATCCACTCTTTATCCTTAAGAACTAGAAAGATATTTTCAGTGATGCAATCCATGGGGAACTGGGGTGACTCAGACAAGTCCTCATAGAGAATGGATATCCTTCAGGATTCATCGAGAAAAAACATTAAAGTAAAGTAAACGTCAAAAGAACGTAGACGGTGCCAAAGAAACTGCAACTTATGGGAGTTGAATTTAAAGGTGATATCGCAGCTGAGATCCTAAAGAATCGCTAATTTAGATCACTGAGGAAAGCCTTCTTTATGGCTGAGCTATATATCAATTTCTACAGCCGACAAATGATCAATGGATGTGTGAAGGATAAACTGCACATTTGGGCCACCTCACTGTGTGTGTGTTTAAGAATTAACCTTCTCATGTGGAGCCAGTTATATTGGCCACACGAAGCGCACACTTTCCAAACGCATCTCTGAAGATCATTCAGCATGGTTATCAAAAGGACAATGAAAGATAATTACGAGCTCAATTCTTGAGCACTTGGTGAACTCAAGACACGTAGATCCACTGGAGTCGTTTTTCAAGATCATCTACAAGGTGAGGTCAAATGGCAAAAGAGGCATCAGGTTTCGGCTATTGTGTATAGCTGAGGCGTTGGCAACTACGAACTCTGTATAAAGGAAAAGATTTTGAAATAATAGAAAAGATTTGTAACTCAGGTGGATGATTTGGAATTGATAGTGTTCTCTGAGCTCCTTGGTGCTCAGGAGCTCAGAGAACACTATCAATTCCAAAAGGAAAAGATTGTCCAGTCTCTTATTCTACCTTCGTCTTAGGCTCCTTCTAGTCCTTCCCTGTAAAATCTTTTAATTTTGCTTGTTTTAAATTTTACTTTAAGTTTGCTTTCGCTTCAATAATTAATTCACTATTATCACTCTCATATGTTGTTTTTGTACATTTTCACACCCTCTTTACATTTGCTAAATTCACACTCAACTTCTAAAGTCACTTCCGAGTATTTATATCAATTATGCCACTCACCCATATTGCTCAATACTAGACCACTATATATACTTTCTATGGATAAATACGACTATATAGCCCGGCTGTGAACATGATTTCGTCGATAAAGAAAAGTTTCTCCACCGAATTCATCTTTTATTTCCTTCATGACTCAATGGGTATTTTCCGTGAATAGTTAATTATACACCGGCTTTTCAGGAGAATCGGACACAGGCTTATCCAGGCCTCTCAAGACACCAACAGGGTAACCATTTGATAGCCTTATCTTCTGGTGGACCAAAGGCTCTCCCACGCCACCTGTACAACGGCTTGTGATTCCAACAACCGTCGATACCAAGTTTAAAATACCACTCCTTGCTCGATTACTGAGGTTAATCAAAGTTTGGCTATGTTTGGAGCATCTAGTTTACTGCGCGTATTCCAAGGAAGTTTCAGGCAGCTATTCATTAGGACATAGGGGCCAGTTTCCTTAAGCAGAGACTAAAGCGGGTCAGTTTTTGAAGTTCACAGAACATTCACTGCATTTCAAGACAATCTCTTTAAGACCTACTTCATTATGAACTACTCACCCGAAACAACGAAGTGAAATGCAAAATCTCACCATTCTTTCAAAGTGTTAGTCTGAGTGTTGAGTGAGGTTCCAGGGGCTTCCTTTTCCAATCCTACTATTTTTATTAGTGAATTAGGCAAGCCTTACAATGGAGTGCGTCACTTGTCAGGAGTCGAACCCAAGACCAAATAAGGCACGATTGGCAAATAGAATCGACTCACAAATCGTCATCCATGGGGCGATTAAAATCACTCATAATTATTATTATGTTCCTTCAAAAACCACTCATATACCTCAGTTAATATGTATATATATACTTTATCCAGAAATATTACAAATACTAATAATAATTATAAATAATGCTAAAGACATATAATTTTTGTTAAAAAAAATGATTATTTAAGTAGTGTTATGATTAAAAATGAAAATAAATAATAAAGTTAGAAGAAATTAAATCCCATCATGTTTGTCGATGGAAATATCCAGATAGAGGATGGTGACTAAAAATATCAGAAAATATAAGCGATTCATGCGAAGACAGCAGTGATAACAACAACGGCAACAACGAGAATAGAAAACCGTCTGAAGTACAATTGCACAATACTTCAGCACATATATAAAAATGTGATAAATAAAGAATTGAATAAAAGAAGTGTGACAGCTGTAAAAGATGGTTATAACTCAACTGAAGTGAGAAACTACAGGGCTATAAACTATAAAGTACAGATATTATAGTGCTTTATAATAAGGGAAACAAAATAGGAGAATTTTAACTGATAAAATTTGGGGTGAGATGGGGAGATTGATTGACTTTAGCAGGACATCCACCTTGGATAAGATTAGATTGGAATCGCTTGCGTGCGAACATAAACATCGTATTATGTATACGGACAACGCGGTGTAGTAGTCAGGCAGGTTGAGGTGAGTTGTTTCCAGTGTGAAGTGATAGATAATTAGGCGAAAAGAAATCAATAATGCTGAATAATAGTCGAGGTCATACACTACGGAGGGATGGCGGCGTCAGCAATGGCAGCAGCAGCGACGATGGTAGTAGAGTGTATTTTTCACAGTGTATTTTATTTGTGCGTGAGTTGTTTGAGCATTGAATAAATTCCAGTTATGTGAAGAATACAGAGAATTGTCCAATGAAATTTAATACACCTAATAGCATAATTGTTACATGTACGCATACAATTAAATACCATTTTAGTGTTTCACGTTCTGATATAATTTTAAATTTAATTACTGACGAAGATTCACTACGATTATCAACTTGAAATTCATTAAATGGTGTAAAGTCGTCGGTTGCCATCTGTCGGTGTTGATGAACAGTGCTGCCATTGCTGAGAACACCTTTCCCATTGAGCAATTTACCATCAGAATAAATTTCTGGTTGGATAGTTTCTTTCTGTGATTTCATTTTATCCAATTCACGTTTATTCAACAGGTAGATTAATGGAGGCAATGCAAACATGTAGACAAGACCGCATAGGGAACCACTGAATCTAAAAAAATTAAAAAAGTAAGAAAAAATATAAACGAAAATAGCAACGACATCAGCGGCGATGCTAACACAACGCCTTAGGAATGCAGCGATAAAAAAAGAAAAAGAAAGTAGATGAGTACCCTACTCACGTCAACTCCAACTGCATTTACCAATTGACGTGCACCTGCGGAAGCAAGTACATAGGAAGGACTGAGAGGAGAGCATCTACTAGATTTTCTGAGCACATTCCAAAGAGCCTCCATACAAAAGGAAGAAAAGTGTTATCGAGTGCAATCGCCAGACATTTAATTGACACAGGAAACAGTAGAAATCAGTCATGCCTTCAAAATAATCAATACGCAAAGAAACCCATGGCTACTTCGTTTCGCAGAAGCCATTGCTATCAAGAGACTTTGACCAGACCTCTGTACACAGAAAGATAGTGTGACTAATCTTTCACTACCCTGGTAACCCTAATCCTATTTTATTTATTTTTGTTTTTTGTTACTTACTTCACTATTCACTCCCACCCTCTTAAACTCTCTACCACATGTGTAAATTCACTCTGCTCTCTGACCTTGACCCCATAATATGCCTCTAACCAGTCTGCGTTTCCCAACAGTAATTTGATCTCTAAACCCTCTTATCTAATCCCGCTATATGTAATTAGTTTTTTTGACACTGAATAATCTGTCTACCTACATCAAATTCCGGAATTATGTTCCTTATACCTTCTATTTATAACTCCAAGTAATTATGAAAAAGTATGTTCCAAAACATTTTTGAAACTTATAATTTGATCTTGTTTAGGATGTATGCAGTTGATGAGTATCCACGAAATAAAACGAGCTTGATTATCCTGCAAACATGTTCGTTCTTTCTCTCCCTCTTCAAACTAATAAAGGGAACCGGTTGTATGAAAAAGAGAATTCCCTGCTGTTGAATTACGCTTTGTCTTCAAAACCACCTACCTCTATTTTGCGTTCGGGAATAAAAGACAAACTGCCTGATTTCGCGTCTTCCATGTGTATCTACCAATTTAACTGCTCCTGTGAAGTGAGCCAGTTACATAGGCCTTACAATTAGGCGTTTTTCTCATCAGATTTCCAAACACCCTCCTGCACAGTGATTAAGTCAAGGACAAAATATAACTACTCACATACCGCTATTCTATCTCATCTTGTGGATACCAAACACTAGACTAATGTCAATAAAACAGCCTTCAAAGTCATCTACCACATACCAACAAATCTTCACTTCACCTTAAGAGATCGTCTACCACATATGTCTGAGGCTGGCTGTTGAGAACTACATTAAAAAGCCTAATTTATGTGTCCAAAAGAAGGTGGCTCAGACATCCTCCTTACCTTGGCCAGGTTGGATTTATCTTGATTTTAGTTGATATTCTATTTGCTATTATATTTTTATTCTTCTCCCTATTATTATAATTTTAGCATATTTGATGAACTGTGGTAATTCCATTGTGATCTTACTTTACAAATCGATATTATTTCAAAAAAACACTAATATTGTTATTGACTACTATTCTAGAATATTCTATGTATATAAACACACCTATATGTAGCTGTTGAGTTAGATGAGGGGGAAATTATCAAAAAAGATATTCTTTCCTCAAACATTTTGTGTTTTATAAATGAAAATAAAGATTGTAACGTCAGATTTCTCAATATTAAGGAGTGCTTTGTCAACCGAGGATCGAATTTTCCAAACCACAAAACGCATGGTTGGCGGGTATTATAGCGCTACTTATCCACCAAGACACCATGTGCTTAACTTCGGTAACAGTATGAGGACTGATGCTTTCGATTTGTCAACGTCGCCTGTTAGAATTCCACACCATTATGAAGGTGGCGTGGGGGAGCGTTAGGTCCACTAGAAGATAAGGTTACCAAGTGGTTGCTCTGTTGATCTCTCAAGGGTTTGGGATAAGTGTGTTCGATTCTCCAGAAACGTCGGTGTGTATTATCCATCTACCGAAAATACTAACATTTTTAGTGCTTCTTTTCCCGGTAACGTTCTACCTTTTGCATGAAAAAACATTAAAACTATCCCTATACCAAAACCATCTTCTGGTTCTGATATTAAATTTAGGCCTATTGCAATTACTTCCCCCTTTTTAAAATTCATGGAAAAAATTACTTTTACTTCGTCTTGAACCCGCTTTGAAACCTTTTAATGATCCTAAACAATTTGCATACAAACATGGTAGAAGTACCTTGGATGCTGCGGTTGTCTTATATCACAGTGTTGTTTCTTGTCTAGACAAAGGTGCTAAATATGTTCGGAGTGCTTTCTTAGGCAACACATCTGCTTTTGACTCTGTACCTAGGGGCCTTTTATTAAATAAGCTATCGTTGACACAAATAGGATCCTGGGCTAAGAGTTGGTTGCATTCCTATTTTTCTGATAGAATGCAGTATACTGTATATAACGGCAAGTCTTCTTCTACCTCTCTTACAAAAACCGGTGTTCCTCAATGTGCCATCCTCTCTCCTTTTCTTTTTTCTTTCTTCCTACACGGCCTGCCTCATTCAAACGAAACTAACTTTGTTAAACATGCAGATGATCTGACTGTATTACTCACTGCCTATCACTTCCGAGTCTGACAGCTCCGAACTTAATAGCTTTCTGTTGGACATCAACAAGTGGTCTGAGTCAAATGGTCTTATGTTAAATCCTTCCAAATGTCAGGTGCTTGACTTTACTTTCAAGCATCGACGTGACTTACTTGAACTAGTTTACTCGCATGATCCCCGTAGCATAGATGGCACGGAAATTTAAACCAAGTCAAGCAGCATTAAATACCTTGGATTAGTTCTTTCCTCTGACCTTTCATGGTCATCCCATATCTTATCTATCTCTAAGAAAATGTTTCGTCTTACCTTCTACATTAAAAAGTTAAGACAATCAGGTATCATCCAACCTTTAGTTTCGCAATTTTTAAACTCCTGTATTTTACCTATTGTACTCTATAGCTCTCTATTAATCTTTCCGGGGCTTCTCAAAAAGATTATATCATACTACGAAGAGTATTAAATGCTGTGAGTAGAGCTTGTGGTCTGTCACTGCATGAGCTCGCTAATACTTTAGTCGAGAGGCACATAAATTCCTGTACGAAATGGACAAAGGCTGTACTGTCAGACCCTCTGAACCCCCTTTATTCACAACTATCCCCTTGTATCTCATCAGGTAGAACGAGAAGTCAATACAGAAAGTTATATGCTTGTACCACTAAGTACAGAAATTCTACAATACCCTATTTAGCCCGTACTTTATGTGACGAAGACTCTGTTAGACGTGAAACTTACAAGTTACTATGTAATTAGCACAGTGAATCGACCCTTTCATCGTTCATCTTTCTGTATTTTACGGTGTCACACTTTCTATCGTTTAATTATTACTCTGCTATTTTATTTTAGTTGTTATTACTATTATAACTACAATTTTATACTTTATGCATATTTTTCTCCGTATGGCATACAGTATTTTGCTATGTAGCTGCTATAACAATCGTTTTATTACTGTTATATAATGTATATTTTTAATTTTTTTGTCGTTTTTGAGTAAATTAGATGCAATATTGTACTGAATGCTGAAAATTCTTTGCTGTATCATTAGTACTGTTTTTGGAATAAAGCAAAATTTATTTTATTTTATTTTTTTTATTTTTTAAATACCCATTGAGTCATTTAGTAAATAAAGGACAAATTCAGCGAAGAAGGTTTTCTTCATCGATGGAATCATCTCCAGAGGCTGTATGCAGTCATATTTGTATTTACTAAAAATGTATAGTAGTCTATTTTTGAGTAATAGGTGGTAGGGGATGACATAATGGATATAAGTGCTCATAAGTCGCTTGAGAAGTAAAAAATAAATTTTTGTACATCACACGGTACTCAACATCACAAAATTAAAAATTTGATTAGGTTAAAATTGCTACTGAGTGAGGACACAGGTGGTAGTTGAGTGTCAATTTAACAAAGTGTAGAACCTGATGAAGAGCTGGTCATCGAAAATGGGAATATTCTTCGTTCAGGGAATCAGTTGTTTGAAATATGAAAGGATGAGTCAAATGATGCCTTAAAATAATGAATTGGAAGGTAATCATGAATGGGAATTTCACCTCGTGAAATTTCTTTTCCGTGCTTTTAATTTTTATTAGGTGTGGGAGTGTTTTTCACCTGCTTGAAACTTTAGTCCCATATTGCCTCTTTTGCAGACATCAGACTGACTAGTAAGCTAGACGAGGTTTAAGAAATCGACAGATATTTAATTCTTCTCAGTAGTACACAGCCATAACCCTACCGGAAATCGAACTCAATACTTTTGAGTTATTGGTTGAACCTATGGAAAATCCAACCATTGAGAAAATGGTTTTGACAGTAAGAAAATTAAGATAACAATGGGGATAACTTACAAAATAAATTGTTCTGTTTCTTTCTAAAAGGTTTAAAACACTGAGAAAGTAAACCCTAACACACTTTCAGTATTAAATTACACATAGTAAGAGATAGAAAGATACTTCATAACTTCAGTGTTACTTCAAGTGTGCTCAGTCAGGAGTGATGTGAAAACAGTTACCCTTTTTTGAGGGCGGTGGCATTTTCTGAAGCAGCGTAATTTTGAAATCATCAAATTTGAACTCTTTTCTGGTGAGCACTTAAGTTTTCAATGGTTTGGTTTGAAAGCATAAGATTCCTTTTGACGAATTCATCACGGAGATGAAACCATTGACAACCACCAGGGAGTACTGGACAGGTGTTTAATCCTAATCTGGAATTCATCGGTGAAATGCGCACACTGGGTTTTGAGATGAGGACATTACGGTTACAAGGCAAGTCTGTTAGTGACATGCTACAGGATGGAGTTTCCTGGATTTAGTTCAAGTGAGAAGTTGTGACCAGTTAGGTTCATCGAGTCAAGTGCAGGAGGATGGATGTCGCACTGATGACATTGGTTGAAGCCAGTAGGGCTAAAATCACGAACTGGTAGAAGTTAGAATTCATGAACCGGCCATTGAATCTGGTTTAATTGTCTGAATGGTATACGAGGTAGCTTGCCTTGTAACCGGAAGGACCTGGGTTCCAACCCTGGTGGTGGGTGCATACTACCGATGATTCACAAACTAGGATGAAACAGCTGGTTGTCTAGTAATCCAGTGCTGGTTTTCAATGGTTCTTCAACTGATATCAACCCCACGATCAACTCGTCAAAAGAATCGTTTAGTGTTTTCTCAGCAATCTACAATTTTCAGCCCTAAATTTCACAGTAACCCCATTATGGATAAGATTTTATTTTGATAAATCAAACAGTGTTGTACAGTAATATGGATAGATTTAGACTTTAATTCGTTTAATCCGTTAACTGTTTAGGCAGGCTTAGTTAAGTATCTAAGAAACCGAGCTATAGCACCAAGTAGCACAAGAAAAGACCAAAATGACGAAATAAAGCAGATAGAAGAATAACTGGTTGGTGTTGAATAACTGTCCTATAAAATTCATTAGGAAGATCAGTAAAGGCCAAAAACAAAATAAAAGAAATTATAGAACTACTAATGATAACATCCACTGTTAGACCATATCAGGAGGGGACATCTGAGACCCTACGTGGGATGCTTAATAAAGCAGAAATTAGCAATTTAGCTCAGGATAGAATGTTTGACCCCGCGAAGATAAGTAATTTAGAAAATAGTTCAACAATTGCACTGCATGCATTAACACACACACCCTCATAATAGGGTGGGTGGGACAGAGGCGAAATACTTAGAAGTAATATAGGCACATGGAAAGAGAGGTTGATTACTGAATGCTGAAGGGTTCATCAAGTCTACACCCAACATATGCAACACAAATGATTCAACGCAAATACCAGAGATATGTACGGGAGATATTATTACCACCATTCAGTCAGTTAAATCAGAGCAGGATAATAAATAATCTTAAAATCCTATTTCAATTCAGTTCACGTTCATCATAACATTCTAACAAGTTACTTATTTATTTTGACTACAAAAACACTCGTCCTACTTCCTATCTGATTGTATTTGACTGATAACATTCATATCAATATTATTAATTCTGAATGTACTTTACCTTATATTGAATTTTATTCAAATGCCTAGTCATCAACTTTTACTCATGTCTGTCTGTCTGTCTGGATTCAACATAGAACTTGGCACCAAAGTGCACCAGTTCCAGTTGCCATGTTCCAAATAGCACACAGAGGTAGACAAGAAGATGAGTGAAGAGAATCAATAGAGTTTGACAAGTATAAGAGTGAAACAGAATGAGTAATGGTAGAAAGGAATATGAAAGATTACAGAGACTGAATACACCTGCGTTGGCCATTGACAACGATTTTGAGCCATGTCACCTATTGTCTCCAGCCACTGATTGATTCCTAGAGCCATTCCCGAGTGCCCCAACTCGGGAGTCTGCATCTCCCTACCTGACTGACTCAGTTTAACTGTCAAGGATTTCATGGATTGATTAGGCCATGTTTTTGTTTGGCCACCACTTACCCTTTTCCAACCTGCACCTATATCAGCTAGTAATGCCCGTCTGGTGGGGGAGGTGATGGTTAGGCATGCGCAGCACCTGACTGACCTAGCCATCTCAATCTATGTAACTTTATAGCCTCGTCGATTGATTTTCCCTCTTTGCCCAACACTCTACGCCTAACGTCAACATTAATTACCTTATTAAACCACCTAACGTGAGACAGAGATCGTAGACATCTATGATCGGAATCAGTCAACCTTTTCATGTCTTCAACTCGTATTGGCCATGTTTCAGAGCCATGTATATAAATGAAGCAAGAAAGTTGTGTGAGTGAGTGAGTGCCATGATATGATTATAAGTAGCGATAAATTGTGCTCGAAACCTGGTCGCATCAGTTAATATTACTGTATAACCACACTGTGTAACACTTTATCAAAATAAAATCTTATCTATACTGGAGTTATGCTCTACCACCACAGTGCCCAAGTTTTATACTTATATCAGATTTCACAGTAGTCTTTTAGGTTTCGGTTGTTAAGGAAAAAAACTGAATGTGTATGAGCATTACGTAATATTGATTGGAAAAAGAAACACACACAAACACGCGTAAACCTTAACGTACTGAATGATGGTGCCAATTTTCGGTAATAATATGGCAAATACTAGACATAATCCAAGAATGATCGCGTGTAAGACGGAAACATGAAGGAACCTAGAAGGATGTGTATGTCAGAATAAGGAAAACAAAATGGAATTAGAAAAATAAATATGAGAATGTTCAATAACTGATAGAGGTGATTAAATAGGTACATTGTTTTCCCCGACTGGAAGGGGGCGGAGGCTGCGATATTTCTCTATGTACATTCTCAAAGTTAAGACATCAGTTGTGTATATTAGTGCAAATTCCACTGTGTTCCTCACTTCAGATCATACTTTTCCGCTGATGCTGGGCCTCAGGTTAACATCCTATCCGCTCCTTCTGCAGATGCTTTGACGATGTAGTAAACTGGTGGTTGGTGAGTGATAGGAGTAGAATACATGATGTGAATTTCCTCTTATCTGGATAAAGTTTTGAGGCTTGAAACGATGAGTACCGAGCTCGAGTTTCATCGGCAACACCATCATTCACTGAGGAATGCAGGTAGATCCAGATGGTGGCGAAATGAGCATCGTAGACTCCACTGCCAGTCACCATCCACCAATCTAATTCATTATGTTTTTATCTGTAACTAAAGCACTGGGGAGCACTAGTTTCTTTTAAAGGTACAGGAACTCGTGGCGAAGATTTGTAGCTCCGGTGGATGATTTTGATGTGGTTATGTTCTCTCAGCTGGATAGCTTATTTGCTAAGCTTTCATCGCCCTTACTAGATAGCATCTTTAGCTCTTCGATTTCTCCACGAGTTAATTGATCGTCTCTCATGGTGAACTTAAACGCCATGATTAGTTGTTTACGTGCGTTTTCACACCCTCTAGCCTGTTTGTATTCATACTGATTGTTTCCTGGACTTGAAGTTTGACCATTTGTATGTGAGATTCCATCCTTATCGATTGGTAAATTTTGTTCGCCTCGATGTATCTATTGATTGACGATTCACTGGAATACCAGACTACAGGAAATCCTTGATGAAGGCTAATGATGAATAAACACAAAACCTGAGGCAAGGGATTGAAGCTAATTGCATATAGCTATCTAAATCACTTATGTGTATAATTTCAAATGTTATATTGCAGAGATTTCATTGGTTCTAAGTTAGACTACAAAATCCCCATCTTATTCTATCTGCTGATTTCCTCTTTAGCTGGGTCCTTGACTGCTCATAGTCTCTCATATCCTCCTCCAGCTCACAGGATCCCTTCCATCTCATACATGAACATCTAATCCACCATTTTGTATTTGGATCCCACTCTAAAAGTTTCACGTGACTGTCATCCGTCGGTCTCCTCAGCATATATCCGATCTATCTCCATAGTCTTCTGAACTTTTGTAGAGAAACAGCTTCTTGATTGATTCGTTCTCAGAGGTTCTTGCTGTTAATTCTTTCTGGCAATTAGGTCTTCAATATATACGATCAGATAAGGCAGTTGTTGATACAAAGTCGGTGATGCGTGAGCCAAGTTTCTGACCCATATAGAAGGAGTGACTGGCCTTACATTTGTGTTGAAAATCTGAATCTTCTTCTATATATTGGCTGATTGTAGAAGATTTCTGAACTGATTTCAGATTGATGAAGACATAAAATGCTACCACGATTCTAGCTTTTGACATATAGTTGCCCCTATGGCTGAAACTATGCTTACTTGACAAGTGAAGGAAATAACCTCAGTCAAATTTCTCTCATCGAAGATGTTTAGAGTGCGTCGGTGGTATAGCGGTTAGGACGCTCGCTGACCATGCACATGGTCCGGGGTTCGATCCCCGGCCGACGCACTCCTTTACCTCGCTAAGCCAGAAATAATCCTGGTAAAGAGGAAAGGTTGGGCATGGGGCTAGCAATCCCATCCTGTAAAATAAACACTGCTACAGAACCTTCAAGCCACTAGCTTGAAGGTGCCCTATGTTCCACTGGGGAACGTGATGGAAAAATTATTTTTTCATTATTATTGATGGTGTTTAGTGTTGCTTTTTGTTGTGTTTTATGGAGAGTTGATGGTAAATTAGGTGCAACATGTAGCGTTTTGAGATAAATACTGGCGGATAACAGTGAATGTCTTGTGTTCCGGATTGAATATAAAGTGGCATAATCAATTATTGTTATTTCAGTTTCGATTAGTTCCTAGAGTAATATGGGACCTCAGCCACACGTCTCTATTGCGTTCGGTTCTCCAACAACGTTTTTTATCCGCCTTCACATCCGCCCTTTGCATGAACTCCTCCAGCTCACACTCGCATTTACGACCAACTTGCCGCTTCCCATTGGGGTTCTACTCGAGCAAACGCCTGGAGTATGATGTCACTCACTTAGTGGTTTGTTTTCTCAGAGCATAGCCAATCCACCGCCATTTCTTCCTGAATATTTGTTACACAACTGATTCCTGCTGGGTTGGTTCGTTTATTGCCAGAGATCCCTCCCTGTGGCTGATATTTTCTGGCATGCCATCTGATCTTGAGTAGCATTGAGCGAAGACAGCTATTGAGTAAGGTCTGTAGTCTATTCGAAGTCCTCTTCGTGACGCGGCACGGAGTCGATTCTCTGATCCGTATAGTAAGTAGCACTGAGTTCACATTGGAGCTGAAAATCCGGATCTTATTTTCCTTTTCATGTTGAGTACTGTTGATCTCCGCACAGACTTGAGAGTAGGGAAAACTTGCCTTGCTTTCTTGATCCTCGCTTTGATAAAATCCTCATCAGTTTCGTCTGCATGTAGTTGAAACGATGCTTCCAAGGTAGGTAGGTAGGTAGGTAGGTAGGTAGGTAGGTAGGTAGGTAGGTAGGTAGGTAGGTAGGTAGGTAGGTAGGTAGGTAGGTAGGTAGGTAGTTAGGTAAAACAGGTTGCTTCTTTTAGATTTCTTCCATTTGTGCTGGTTATTGTCTGTTTGTGTTACTGTTGTCATTGGTCAGGAATCTTCTTCACCTCTGTTTCCAATATATACACCTGAAGTTCCATCTTTGGTTCTTCTATCGCTAACTTGTTGCTTTTCACTTGCATATCTTCCGGTTTGTGAAAACTCAGAGATATATCATCAGTGACGTGCAGATCCTATAGGTTTTTGTGTGGGTCAACTTTATGCCAGTCTCCTCGCTGCCCGCTTCCTGTCACCTTATCTAGTCTACCGGAATCAGTGAAATCATTGGAGATAGTAGGCAGTCTTGTCTTACTCCGGTTTTCACTTTACAGGGTTTCGTGAGATTCGCGTTATGGATTACTTGGCATATAGCATAGTCGCACAACAGTTGGATGAGATGTATAATTGTTGGCGGCACCCCATAGTGGCGAAGTAGTTGCTAAATCACCTTTCCATCGACTCTGTTTGCTAAAAGCTTTTTCAAATTCAATGAATTTGGGGTAGAGAGCTGACTGGCTTTCGAATGATAATCCGTAGTGCTGCCATTTGATCGATGCATTACAAATTGTTCCTCCTAAAACCAGCCTGTTCCGGTCGAATTTTTCCATCCAGATCGGCGTGTTTGATTGTCCCCAGGATGATTCGGCTTAGTATTTTGCTTCGGATGAACAGCAGCATAATACCTCGGCAGTTATTACATTGACCTTAGTCTCCTTTCTTTGATAGTTTGAATAAGTAGCCTTTCTTCCAGTCTGCAAGTACTTTGACCTCTTTCCACACCCTCTCCAGTAGTTGTGTTATCCAGTCTGCTGATGTCTCTGGGTTGATTTTCAATGCCTCTCCTGGAATTTAGTCTGATCCTGCTGCTTTTCTAGTTTTATGGCGTCTTTATTGCCTTCAGAATTTTTGTTCTCATCATAGGGGTTGATGTCCACTGGTAGTTCTGCTTCCGGTGTTGGTATTATTGGGCTCGTTGTAGATGGCGGCTATTAGTTACTATTATTACTTTCCTAATATTTTTTATGGTATAGAATTATTATAAGTCATTTATTTGGTAACATATTGAAGGGGAAAGGATCATCAAAACTGTATAATTAGTATGACTGACCCTGGATATTCTTTCTTGAAGATGACCATCATTAACTGGACTCTTAAGATATACAGAATCATCGGAAATACAGTGAACATTTGTAGTAATGATCCGAATCGACCAATAAAGACGGGAATATCAGTTGACAAATTGTTTAAGAGATTCTAGATAAAAATTATTTGAAAAAATAAACAATATAATATTCATTATTATTGTTATTATGTATATTATTAATTAATTAATTAATTATTTTATTAAATCTTGACTCTACACCTGATCTTTGTTACAAATATGGAATTTTCAGCCTGTGATATGGCGCATTAATTACAACTTCTGCGAATTAACAACATAACCCGACCACTAGCCAATGTCATTGATGGCGAGTATTTGTCCTCACACCCAACCTTCTGTACCACACTAGTCAGGAATTCCCAGTGTAACAACAGAAGACAAGGGCCAGGCAACAGATCGTTTTATTATAAAAATCAACACGTATTTATATATATTTCACATACATTATTATAGCTTATGCAAGTAGAAAAGCGCAGTCATCTGATTGGTTGCAGACAAACGCAGGCTTCTGATTGGTTGTTTCGGGATTCCTTGACAAATAGAGTTCTCTATCTGCGAATCATATTTTGCCGCGTTAACTTTGCTGTGATTGGTTGTTGAATCAGCCTTGTTAATATTTTCTCACGGCCCATATTAGTGACCAAGACATTAACGTAGATTAGTGTCAACCAATCGGCTAGCAGCCTGCTCTCACCACACCAGTAGAACTCAAGTAATTAATCAATCTGAATAGGACCAGTCGCCAGTGAGCAACTCGTTGATATTCATGTATTGTTTGGCGTGGATTTAATTTGATTGTCTACAGGATTTCATTATAAGCTGACATCGGTTAGGGAAACTTAGGTTCAAACCGCAGTGGATGAAGATTCGGTCTGAAACTAGGATGAAACATTTTTATTTTTTTTATTTTTTTATTTTTGATTACAGCTTGAACCCCACACCGTACTTTTGGTAGAAGTATGGAGTTTTCAGCGTGGATATCAGTAGCCCAAATTTCGCAGGCCGACTATAGATATCAAGTGTGCGTCGGCGAGAGCTCGAACCCCGGACCATGTGCATGGTCAGCGAGAGTCCTAACCACTGTGCCACCGACGCACCATCAGTCCAGTACCCTTAGATAATTTCTAAATGTTCTCTAATCCATGTCAGCTCATGATGAAATTCTGTAAATAATGTCCTTAGGCTTTAAAATGTACTTCTGAACACCTCACAATTGACTTTCAGCTGGATATCATGGATTTCTTGAAAGAGACAAAGCAGATATATCATAATGGAATGGTATGTCTCATAGGATAATATACTGTCAGTTAGTATTTTACTTAAAGATATTATACGAAGGGAAAATATCGGGGAATAAACTCCCCTGAAAATTCTGCACATTTTATAAATACTGTCCGGAATAAAAATATTATAATTAATGGTCTTGTGCACAGTAGAGGTGGCAATTTTTCATCATTATAACACCAGTGTCTATTTTTTTTACCATCGCCTCATCCAGTTTACTAGCTAGCTAGTTTTATAGCCGGTTCTAAGCCAGGAGAAAGAGTGGTTAGTGATCCTACTCCGGGAACTCAATCAAACTGTTACAGAAAATTCTACTCACAAGAAAAAATTTGAAAAAAACTTATTCTTAGCTGGATTCAGAGAAGCAAAATGACGCCGGTTGGTGAAAGACTTCGGGAAGCTATTCAGCCTATGTGTCTTCTTTAGATGAAAGTAGGAATAAGAATGGGGATGTCTGTCTGTCGTACTATCTATCTAGTCTGCCGAATTCAGGAAAATCATTAGAAATTCCCACTGAAGATTCTGTCTAGAAAGACAATGAGAGCGGCTACTCCCTTAAACTGCCCATGTCTGTCACAGAATCAAATAAGAAGATTGGTTAATATAAAAGGTATAACGGTTAGGACGCTCGCCGACCATGCACATGGTCCGGGGTTTGATCCCCGGTTGACGCACTCCTTTACCTCGTTAAGCCGGAAATAATGCTGGTAAAGAGGAAAGGTTGGGCGTGAAGCTAGCAATCCCATCCTGTAAAATAAACACTGCTACAGAAACTTCAAGCCACTAGCTTGAAGGTGCCCTATGTTCCACTGGGGAACGTGAAGGAAAAAAAATGTTTGATCATACATTAATATGCGTTAGAGAACCAATGGTAACCAGGAATTATTAGACAGATGTTTCGTCCTAATATTGGGACTTCTCACCAAGACCCATCTACTTGAATTCAAATTAAGGACCTTCCTTTTATAAAAGGACAGCTTGTTGACCAGTCATCTAACCAGTATGGCTAAATCAGCCAATGCCATCATCGAGTATCCTCACGCGTGACACGGACAGACCTTACCGCTGATCCTGTCTTCTCCCAACAACTCCAGACAACTACATGTCTACAGACTGACTCTTGATAAAAAAGGATTAACATAGAATATCTCCCCCCCTCCACATACACACACACATACACACAAACAAACACGACTAACTTACATCTTCAATACACGATTTAGCCAGTGGAAATGTGCAGAAGAATATTAAACCGATGGCAAGATAGGTTGCTGCTACACAGATAAATGCCAGTGCCACATCACGTGTCTAAATTTGGGAAAAAAAATAGCAAAAGCACAAAAATATAAAATGAAATAAAATTCAACTCGTAGACAATTGGAATTATTCCGTTACAATCTTTTATACAAAGCATGCTGATATGTTTTAAAGGGAAAGTGAATCATTTATTTAAAATAAACGCATTAGACACTATCAGACAGCTTTATAAATAACCAGATTTAACTCTATTATGGATAAGATTTTATTTTGATAAATCACACAGTGTTGTTGTACAATAATATTTACTGATGACCATGTTTCGACCACAAATTATTGCCACTCACTCACTCACACAACTTTCTTGTTTAATGTATGTACATGAGTGTAATTAATGATTAGACATTTGAACAGAAGAAGGCAAACTACACATTAGTGTTTATAGAAAACCAACGCATTCGGCTAATAGATATTTAGATTTTAATTCATACCATCCGTTGTCTGCCTCTGAATGCAGGCTTAGTTAAGTGTCTAACATACTGAGCAATAGCACTAGGTAGTACATCGAAAAACACCTAAATGATGAAATGAAACAGATAGAAGAATAACTGGTTGGTGTTCAATAACTATCCTATAAATTCATTAGGAATACCAAAAAAGGTCAAAAGCAAAATAAAAATTATTATTATTATTGTATCCTTTAGTTCCTAGAGGAACATTGGGCTTCAGCTGCGCACCTCCATTGCCCTCTGTTTTCTGACAACTTTTTCACCCCGTTCCAGGTCTGTCCACATGCTTTCATCTCCTCCTCGCATCACCTCCTCCAAGTCACCCTTGCAGTGACGACCAACTCGCCGCCTCCCTTTCGAGTTCCACTCGAGGGCTTGTCTAGTGATGTTACCTGATGGTTTCCTCAGCGTATGGCCAGCCAATCCATGTCCATTTCTTCCTGCCTATTTGTTTCACAATCGGTTCCTGATTGGTTCGCTCCCAGAGATCCCTGTTGCTGATCTTTTCTGGCCGGCCATCTGATCTTGAGTATTGAGCGGAGACAGTTGTTAATGAAGGTTTGAAGTTTGTTTGAGATGCTCTTTATGACTCGCCAAGTCTCTGATCCATATAGTAGCACTGACTTCACATTGGAGTTGAAGATCCGGATCTTATTTTTGATTCTGAGTGCTGATGACCTCCACACAGATTTGAGAGTAATGAAAGCTTGCCTTGCTTTTCCAGTCCTCGCTGCTTTGATATCCTCGTCAGTTCCACCTGTATTTGAAACGATGCTTCATAGGTAGGCAAAGGAAGTTGTTGCTTTCAGGTTCCTCCCATTTATGCTGACTGTTGTATGTTGTCTGCTGTTGCTGTTGATGTTGGCTAGGAATCTTCATCACCTCTGTTTTATCTATGTTCAATTGAAGTCCTATCTTTGAAAATTATGAGAAAACTAATAATGATAACACAAATAAGAGAGAATATAAGGCATCTAGAGCAGTTTTGCGATGTAGGAAATCTGAAACCATACGTAGGATTCTCAATAAAGCAGGAATTACGGTGGCATTAGGGTGAACCTATAAAGTCAATCAGGTAAGACAAGCTCTGTAGAATAAAGGACCCGGTTGACCCAATTAGACAAAATATTAACAATAATTTGCTTTATTCCAATACAGTACTGGTGATACAGAATGGAATTCTTAGCATATCACTACATACAGTATTGCATCCAGTTAGTACATTAACAATAAATAAAATTATACATAGATTATGGGTAATCTCAGTTCATTATGACAACAACATATTGGCATATCGGTAGCAAAGCCAAAAGTTGAACAGAGTGTTTGAAGGTGTTAGAAAGGTAGATGCACTAGCATATTTACTGGCGTAAGCGGAAGAAAGAAACAAAGCAGCACATAACAACAACAAAAAAGAGAGAGAAAAGGAATAGAAAGAAAGAAAACGTTGTCCCTATAAATGATATCAGTTGGAAAGACGAGATCCAGTTGTTCAACTGACTATTTAATAAGTTATAGGTATCACGCTTAATGCTTTCTTCTTTATCACACAGAACACGAGCTAAGTAGTATATGGTAATATAATTTACAAAATACTTTGCAATGACTGTAAATGAGGTTAACTACATAGGTCAAACTAGTAGATCGTGATAGTCAGATTACCGGAACATAAGAATTCAGCTAAGGTGTGAATGGTTGACCCAGAGAAGATAAATAATTTAGAAAAAAACCCACACAATAGGGTGGGTGGAACAGAGTCAAAATGCTAATAAGTAATATAGGTACATGGAAAGAGAGGTTGATCACTGAATCCTGACTGGTTCATCGAGTCTACACCCAACTCAACACATGCAATAGAAGCGACTAATCATCGCTAATACCAGATATATGCATGGAAGATATTATGACCACCATTCAGTCAGTTATATCAGAGGAGGATAATAAATAATCTTAAATTGTATTCTATTTGAAATCATTTCACATACATTATAACATTCTAACAACTTACTTATTTATTTTGACTGTGAAGAAACACTCGTCTTATCTCCCATCTGACTGCATTTAATCGATAACCCTCATATTATAATTTCTGAATGTACATTATCCTATATTAACTTTCTTCAAATATCTAATCATCAGTTTTCACTCGTGTATATAAATGAAGCAAGAAAGTTGTGTGAGTGAGTGAGTGAGTGACTTGATATGATTATAAGTAGCAATAAATTGTGCTCGAAACGTGGTCGCATCAGTTAATATTACTGTACAACGAACACTGTGTGATTTATCAAAATACAACTTTTTCTGTAATGGATTATTATTACTTAGAATATATACAAAGTAACCAGATTCAACTTCACCTAGATGCATCTTTGACAAACATTTTAAGAATATTTTTTTTAAAAAGCCTTTACTTATTCTAGGAAACTCTTCAGTAGGTCATCTTCAATGTCATCCGGATTACACTGATCACTAATCATACTGTTTATGAAAATTATTAAGTTGACTGTATATTTAAGCAGTCCTATTGGGTTCCAAGTGGATCGTAGAGCCTCAACAACACATCTCCACTTTGAAATAATAGAAAAGATTTGTAACTCAGGTGGATGATTTGGAATTGATAGTGTTCTCTGAGCTCCTTGGTTTAATTGCAGAGCTTTCATCGTCTTTCTGGACGACATCTTCAGCGCAGTATTTAGGATAAAGTGAAATGATTTAAATTTCTTCATGAGTCTCCCGGTAACCATCAGAAAAATTAAAATCCCAATCAATAGAAAACGGTCAATAAATATCTAAAGATGGTTACCGGGAGACTCATGAAGAAATTTAAATCATTTCACTTTATCCTAAATACTGCGTTGAAGATGTCGTCCAGAAAGACGATGAAAGCTCCGCAATTAAACCAAGGAGCTCAGAGAACACTATCAATTCCACATCTCCACTTTATTATATTTGCTACTGTCCTCTTCAGCTGGCTAACCCCGTGATTGCCTGTAATCTCTGATCTCCTCTCACTGTCGATCCACTGATCGCTTCTCACTGGGATTCCACTTGAGCAGTGGCCTGCATTGCGCACGATGTCATTTGATGGTCTCCTCAACGTGTGTGTGTCCAATCCATACATCTCCATGTTTTCCTACACATTTTGTTGAGCGATCAGTTTTTGCTTGTTGGTTTGTTCCCAGCCAGAGTTTTTTGCTACTTATCCTTTCTACCCGGCTGGCTACTTCATCTTCATTATGCAGCCAGCGAATGCAGCAGACGTTGATGAAAGTCTGCAACCTGCTGGAAATCGTTTTTGTGACACACAGTGCAAGATTTTCACCCGTACAGAAGAACTGACTGACTTGACATTGATGTTGAACATGCGAATTTCGCTCCCTGTCATGTGTGACAGCGGAAGATTTTCAAACTGGTTTCAGGTTGAAGAAAACCTGCGTGTGCCTTGTCTTTCCGATTTTGACTACCTCTGACATCTTCGGTCATTTCGCCTGTAGTTGAAACGATGCTTTCTGTGACCAGATAAGTGAATGTGGCAAAGTCTGTCAAATCTCTCCCGTTGATGGTGATTGGTGCTGGTTATCGTTTTTTTTTCTTGTTGGCTAGTTGGTTAATCTTCATCATCTCTGTCTTCTCTGTGTTGACCTGCAATGCTGTCTTCGCTGCCTGCTTCTTCAGCCAGTTTATTGGCTTTAGCATGCAGGTCTTCTATTTTGTGTGTGACATTGGACATACATCATCCACCCACGAAATCTAGATATTCTGGCGTCTTCTTATCAGTGGTCCAGCGTATCCCTGTCTCCTGCTCCTAACGCACAGTCTTCCAGTCCAACACAATTAAGAATATCATCGTGTGTGATAATAGACAGGCAGCTTTGTCCTACTCCTGTATGCATTTCGAACGCCTCGCTCAGTTTTCCGTTGTGGATCACTTGACTCATGCCACTGTCATAGAAACAGCTGTTGAATGAGGTTGACAAAGACTTTGAGGTACACCGTAGTTTTGAAGTAGTTTCCAAATTACTTCTGGGTCCACGCTGTCTGGTGGAAGCCTTTTCGAAGTCGATAGAAGGAGTTGAGGTAGAGGTTTGATTGCTATTCTATGCTTTGTCAAGTGATGACGATGAGTAGAGTTGCAATTTGATCAGCCCATGATTTGGCTTTCCTGAATCCAGATTGTTCCAAGCGAAGTTCTGCATCCAGTGCATCCTTTATTCTCTCCAAGATGATGCGACCTAGTATTTTACTTGGCGCCTACAATAGCTTTATCCCACACGAGTTCTTGCACAGGCCTAACTGGAAACCCTTCTTCCAATCAGCAGGCACTAGTAACTAGTATGATGTGTCTAGTCGCTTCTTTGGTACAGACTGAATTCAACTAGTCAGGTTTGCAATGTGGCCAACATGCTGAGGGTCTCGCAGAACTGGGTGATGCAGGTTCGGAAATCAGAAGGGACATGAGTTCCTTCAAGTTTGCAGATACGCCTTGCTGACTTATGAATGCCAACTAGCATGGAACCTAGATCGAAGGCTTCCTGTGGCCGATCGCCTCCAACTATCTGATACCAACAATTGACAGTGCACCATTAAAGGCGAACCCCCTTTTTAAAATTGATGGAAAAATTACTTTTACTTCGTCTTGAACCCGCTTTGAAACCTTTTAATGATCCTAAACAATTTGCATACAAACATGGTAGAAGTACCTTGGATGCTGCGGTTGTCTTGTATCACAATGTTGTCTCTTGTTTAGACAAAGGTGCTAAATATGTTCGTAGTGCTTTCTTAGACTACACATCTGCTTTTGACTCTGTACCTAGGGGCCTTTTATTAAATAAGCTATCGTTGACACAAACAGGATCCTGGGCTAAGAGTTGGTTGCATTCCTATTTTTCTGATAGAATGCAGTATACTGTATATAACGGCAAATCTTCTTCTACCTCGCTTACAAAATCCGGTGTTCCACAAGGTGCTGTCCTCTCTCCTTTTCTTTTTTCTTTCTTCCTACATGACCTACCTCATTCAAACGAAACTAACTTTTTCAAATATGCAGATGATCTGACTGTATCACTGCCTATCACTTCCGAGTCTGACAGCTCCAAACTTAATAGCTTTCTGTTGGACATCAACAACTGGTCCAAGTCAAATGGTCTTATATTAAATCCTTCCAAATGTCAGGCGCTTGACTTTACTTTCAAGCATCGACGTGACTTACTTGAACTAGTTAACTCTCATGATCCCTGTAGCATAGATGGCACGGAAATTGAAACCAAATCAAGTATTAAATACCTTGGACTAGTTTTTTCCTCTGACCTTTCATGGTCATCCCATATCTTATCTATCTCTAAGAAAATGTTTCGTCTTACCTTCTACATTAAAAAGTTAAGACAATCAGGTATCAACCAACCTTTAGTTTTGCAATTTTTAAACTCCTGTATTTTACCTATTGTACTCTACTGCTCTCCATTAATCTTTCCTGGGCTGCTCAAAAAAGATTATATCATATTACGAAGAGTATTAAATGCTGTGAGTAGAGCTTGTGGTCTGCCACTGCATGAGCTCGCTAATACTATAGTCGAGAGGCATATAAATTCCTGTACGAAATGGGCAAAGGCTATAATGTCAGACCCTCTGCACCCCCTTTATTCACACCTGTCCCCTTGTATCTCATCAGGTAGGACGAGAAGTCAATATAAAAAGATATATGCTCGTACTACTAAGTATAGAAATTCTACAATACCCTATTTAGCGCGTACTTTATGTGACGAAGACTCTGTTAGACGTGAAACTTACAAGTTACTATGTAATTAGTACAGTGAATCGACCCTTTTATCGCCCATCTTTCTGTATTTTATGGTGTTACACTTTCTATCGTTTAAATCGTTACTCTGCTATTTTATATTAGTTGGTATTACTATTATTACTACAATTTTGTACTTTATACATATTTTTCTCCGTATGGCACACAGTATTTTGCTACGTAGCTGCTACAACAATCGTTTTATTACTATTATGTATTGTGTATTTTTAATTTTTTTTTGTCGTTTTTGGGTAAATTAGATGCAATATTGTACTGAATGCTGAAAATTCCTTGCTGTATCATGAGTACTGTCTTTGGAATAAAGCAATTATTATTATTATTATTATTATTATCGTGGGCACACTGTAAGCTTAACTGATATAATTCAGTCTGCACCAAAGATTGGACTAGACACACACATTCCACTAGTTCCTGATTAGTGTCCAATCAAAAACTTTCCTGAAATACCGCTCATGAATCAGCTGCAATAGAATTAATCTGCAAAATTTCTCTACTGGCTTTCAATGTACACCGCAGATAATGAGAAGAGAGTTGTTGAAATTCATCCTTGGCCGAATATTAGCTCCAGGAATACCTTGTACTATCTGTATATAAATATAAATATAGATAATTCTATGAGGTTCGTCGGCTTTAATTGACTACACAATCGGCATCTTCACCTTCATAACTCTTTGGAATGTAAAATCTTGCATTTAAAATGTTTTCACATTCAGAACCTAAACCATGTAATATCTACTTCCTCAGATAGTTTAGGTGCAAAATAAAAAGGCACCATATTATTCGCGCATTAGAAAAAAAATTAACGTCAACTCACATTATTCTGTGGTCTCCTTTGAGAACGTGTAAGTGTATGCAAAGCATTATGACTGAAAAATGCCAATGAACAGACACCAGTCAAACTGACAAATGTTGGCTGGGCTTCTACAAAGTACCGAGAAGCAGAGAGGGAGAGAAGAATAAATCATGGAAAGTCAGTCATAAATATGTCACTGCATACGTGATTCATTTAGCAACACCTACTTTCAGTGAAAACGTTGAGCTGATGTACAGTGCATGAACAAAATAACCAGAATAAAATAACGTTAAAGAACTCAAACCACAAAACGAAAAACCAAGAAAGCATTTACCCTTAGTCTATTGAATATATTCTCAAAGTATATGAAGAAGATTTTCATCCTGCATGTTTTCCACGATGTGGGACATCGAAACATTGGAAAATTAGTTATGCATTTTGCTATTATGTATATAGATGCACTTCTCAAAATATCATCTTTCATAAAATATTTTATACTACTTTCAAATATTGTAGTAATATACAATATATTCTTAATTTATGTAGTAATAATAATAATGATTTACTTTATTCAAAAAACGGTACTTGTGATACAGAATAGAATTTTCAGCATTAATCACACACAATACTGCATCTAATTTCCTCAAATTATAACTTAAAATTAATCACACAGAAAATTTTCCACATTTACAATAGAGGTAGTGTCAAAAACATGCAGTATATAAAATGGAAATAATAATAATGATAACAGCTAGGGTAATAATAATAATACAAGTGAAAATTACTGTGGGCTTGTTTCACACAGTATTAGCAGTGTGGTATAGAAATCCTAACATGTTTAAAAATACTGAATATAATGTTCTCTTTACATGATATGGTGAGGGGAAAAACAAAGATTACAGCCGTCATAGAGATAAGTTGGTGCTTGCAATTATGAGAGTAAAACAAAGAAGCAACAGAACCATAAATATAATAGAAATAATAAAAGTAAAACTTGAAGGTATATAAGGATGGATTGAGGAAGTTGTTTATTTACTAGATGAAAAAAGGTTAGTTAGTTCTTTCCTGATACTATTTTCATCACATAAAATACGTGCCAAGTATGGTATCATAGAATTTTTATACTTAGGCGTGCAAGCATACAGTTTTCTGAAGTTACTTCTTGTTCTACCTGAGGAGATGCAAGGTGAAAGCTGACGGACGCCAGTTTACAGGCATCATCAATATAATAAGTAATATACACATGGAGTAAGCATATTTACAATTTTCCATTAACACATGACATATATATATATATATATATATATATATATATATATATATATATATATATATATACAAGGAGAGCTAATGGAATAATTTAAACCACTTGGTTCTTTTATGAAATTAAAAAGAAAGCAATAACAAGACGTAATTTTTCTGTATCGTGTAGTGTTGTAATTGTGGAACACATTTTAGACAATCTGACCACACACACGTACTTGTCATAGGAATGTGCGTATATGAAATTAATAAAGGGTTAAGAAGTGAAAAAGTGAACTACATAGGTCGAGTTAAAATGACATGTTGAAGGTCTAAATAACAATGAAGACGACTAAACCAAACAACAGAGGCAATAGTGCATCTACCCTGACAGGTATCAAAACAAAGTATACCATGGAAGACAGCGTAGTGTGATGACGAATTGTTTGTTTGATAAACGCATAAACTTTGGTTTAAACTTTCGAATAGCCGGCTAGGGCTTCCACAAGCTTTAGGATACACCCCAAACAAGTTTTATAGACAGGCTTCAAAGACGTGTAAACATCAATTTCGTGTCCTGTTAATATGTTTCGCAATAGGGGGCTATGTCTCCTGTTCTCACCATTAATAGGTTCCGAAGATTCTTTTCTTTGAGTACAGCTTGATTCCACACAGTATTTATTCGTACAGGTAAGGAATTTTCAGCCTGTAATATCGGTAGCCCAAATTTCTCAGGCCAACCATAGATATCAGGTGTACGCCGGCAGGTGATCGGATCCCGGACCATGTGCATGTTCGGCGACACTCCTAACCACTGTGCCAACGAAGACTCCGAAGCCATTCAGGAGAATATGCTCTGCGGCCAGCCCTTGCTTGCAGAGATCGATGAGTCCTCTCTACCTATGTGTGTCCACACGTACATTCAAATTGGTCTGACAAACAAAACAATTCCAACAGTGGTGTGAACATGGGTAGTAGTAATTTTGCTCGAAATATTACCAATAACAAAACTTATCATTGTGTGTAAACTATTAAAATATAATTATACTTTATTTGACACAATGATAAGTTTTGTTATTGGTAATATTTCGAGCAAAATTACTACTACCCGTGTTCACACCACTGTTGGAATTGTTTTATTCACACATTTATGATTTGTACTCAAATATATAGTTCATTATTAAAATTTTTTTGCTCATTCGTGTTTTGTGTGTGTGTATTCAGAATTATATTTCACATTCATTCATGTGTTTGTATTCAGAATTATATTCCAGGTTGTTGATAGTTGTACTGAGTCACACTTGTTACATGTATCCGGTGTGACCTTATTGAATATCGATTCTGTTATGAGTCTTTCTTTCCATTTGTTCATGTTTGTTTTTAGAATACACACATTGTCCCAATCGATATTGTGGTTTTTGTCCCATGCATGTGCAGCTATCGATGAATTTTTTTCAAGATTTTTGTGAGCTTGTGTCCCTGTTAGTTGACCTTTGGTTAGGAAGGCTTTTATGTTCATTCACTCTTATTTTGAGTGATCTGGACGTTTGCCCCACATATTTAGTTGGACAGTCAGCACAAGATATCTGTTTGTAAATCAGATTGTTTTTATCCATCATTTTTATGGGATCTTTCAGTGGATTTATTTTATTTTTGATTAAATTCATCGGTTTAAAGGTTGTTCCAAGGCCGATATTTTTGAGGTTTCTTTGTATTGCCTCTGATGTACCACTTTTATATGGTATTGCGACTGTTTTTCTCCATTCTTCCACCCTGTTATTCTCCGGTTTTACCCTCTTTTTTCTCTTTTTTCTCTTTTATCTTTTATAAATTCTCTAGGGTAGTTGTTTTCGAGTAGCATTTTGAATAGGACTTTTATTTCAATACGCTGGCCCTCTGGTGTTGTTGTAAGTCGTCTACGTATTCTACCTGCAAGACCTTGTATTAATCCTCGTTTTACCAAGAGTGGATGAGCTGAGCAATAATCAAGGAATCTTCCAGGATGTGTGGCTTTTCAATATATCGTTGTTTTTGTGCTACCATCTGTCATTCTTTATAGTTTGCAATCTAACATGGGCAGTTCTCCAATTTCATTCTCTAATTCCATAGTGAATTTTATTGAGTCGACGTGGTTGTTTATGTGTGAGAAACGTTTCTCAGTATCGTTTTTTTCACTATTACTAATGTGTCGTCTACATATCTCCACCAACATTTTAGTGATGATCTGAATGGTTTAAGGGCATTCTTCTCCCAATAATCCATGAATATGTCAGCTATAATTGGTGAGATAGGCGATCCCATAGCTACTCCCTCATTTTGTTGTTATATTTTTCCTTCGAATGTGAAATATGTTGTTGTCAGACAGAACTCTACCCCTTTTATTATTTCTTCTACGGATAACTGTGTTCTGTCTTTCAGGCCATTATCTTCATTTAGTTTCTCTTTCAGTGCAATCATGGCCATTTGAATGGGTATTTTCGTATAAAGACTGTTTACATCAAAGCTAACTAGTATTTCTTCCTCCTCTATTTTAGTGGTTTTTATTCGCCTCACTAATTCAAATGAATCTACTATTCTAGCTTTTGAGTTGTCTCTTGTCGGTCTTAGTATTGTCGAGAGGAATCTGGACAGCATATATTGAATGCTCCGTTACATGTAGTTGACATGGTGATCTATTCACAAATGTGTAAAAATGTCTTGTAAAAAGTTAGTTAGTTTACCGATCTGTCTGTTTTCGACATAGAACTTTGCACAAATGTGCGGAAGTTCAAGTCGCCACATTCCGTGTAGCACGCGAAGCAAGAGAAGAAAGTACAAGAAAAGCATAATACAAACAGTGAGCAAAGGTGTGAGACAAAGGAGTAATAAAGAAATACAAAACAGTTTCATTGAAGATCATAAGTCACAGGGAGTGGATGCATCTGCGCCACTGAGAACGGTTTTGAGCCATGTCACCAATTGTTTCCAACCATAGATTTTTACCATCCCGAGGACCCCAGCCTGGAAGTCTACACCTTTCTACGTGGCTTAGACCAACTGTTGTGGATTTCATTGACTGATGCCAAGTTTTTGTTTGACCGCCGCTAGCTTTTTTCCAGCCTGACCCTATATCCGCTAACATTGCTCGTCGAGGGAGGCGATGGCTTGGCATACGTAACACATGTCCTAACCATCTCAGTCTTTGTAGCTTCACGACTTCGTCGATTGATTTCCCCTGTTTACCTAGAACTCGACTGATGCCTAACCTCAATGTTGCTCACCTTATTATGCCACTTTACACGGGAAATAGAGCGCAGGCACCTATGATCAAAGACAGCTAGCCTTTTCATGTCTTCCACTCTCAGTGGCCAGGTCTCACTCACAGCCATAAAAAAGGACGGAGAGGACTGATGAGCAGTACACCCGCCCTTTGGTCGATAGTCGAACATCTCGTCTACGCCAGAGTCGGTGTAAACTGGTAAATGCGAAACGAGCCCTCTGTATTCGTGCTGAGATTTCGTCAGAGATCAGCCCGTTGGGGCTGATGGTACTTCCCAAATAAGTGAAGCGGTCAACGTGCTCTACCATTTCACTTCCTATTTTTAAACTAGGCGTCGATGTAGTCCAGTCCTGTAACATCATCTTGCTTTTGGCGGGAGCGAATCGCATGCCAAACATTCGTAGATTGCGGCTCAAGGTGTTCAGAAGACTCTGCATTTCGTCAGCGTCTTCGCCTAGAAGGACTATATCGTCTGCATATTCCAAGTCAACGAGATTATTCTCTGGTAGCAAGTCAATCCCTGAGTCGCTGAAGTCACTTAGGGTTAAGTCCATTAACACATCTATGATGAAGTTGAATAGAAAAGGGGATAATGGGCATCCTTGACGGACACCACTGGTCGTCATC